TCTGGTCCATGCCATTATCTTGGGATTTTTCTCCTTCCTGTATGCCTATGATTTGTAAGTTTGATCTTTTTATGGTGTCACACAATTCCTAAATATTCCGTTCTTGTGATTTCTTAAATTTTTCATAATCTTGCTTGGTGGTCTAGTTCGTCCACTTTATCTTCCAGTCTTGGTACTCTGTTTTCCATTTCATTCATCCTGTTGGTGAGGCTTTCTCCTGTCATTTCTAATTGCCTTACTGAGTGTTTCACTTCCTTCTTCATTTCAGCCTGAGTATTCTTCAATATTTATAACTTTTTTCTGAATTCTTTCAGAAATTTATCCCTATCTTCCTTCAGTTATTTGATTTCTTTGTATGTGGGAAATGCAAATTAAAACCATGTTATTATTTTTCTCTGTGATTTTGACATGTGAATTTCTTTTGTAGTTTCTGATTCTTGTGTGACACTCAAGCCTTCAAGCTTAGGTCTGCTTCTTTTTGTAAACTTTATTTGTCTTTGTGGTTTACTTTTTTGGGCATGAAAAGCTGGTTCCTCTAAGCTTCTGGTTCTCTCTCTTGATTTTACGTTGGAGTGGCCAGATTGCTTTTGTCTTCAGGAGTTCCCACAGAGGCCCAAGTCAGATGAGGATCAGATGCTCTCAGGCTTTCTCCTAAGGTCTGGATCCCTCCAGGAAAGATTTTGGCCTCAGGAATTTGAGGGTTGGACTGGCCTGGGAGCAGGGCCCAGGACAGATGCTGGTCTAGGGCAGCTGGTGGCCATGCCTGCCAGAGATACCAATGGAGATGGGGGCGGGAAGAGGCTCCAAGGGCTCCTAGGGACTGCACTGATGAACTGGTTTGGTCTGGATGCAGCAGATCAGGAAGTGGAAAGGTGGTGTCCAAGAAAGAGGCTGACAGGTTGTGCAGCCCTAGGAAGCAGGGTGAAGTGAGGGCGGGGCCAGGCCTGAGGGCTCCTGGGAGAGAGGCTGGCCGGTTGTGCAGACCAGGGAAGCAGGGGGAGGTGAGGAGGGCAGGCCCAGGCCCAGAGGGCTCCTGGGGACCACAGAAGGAACTAGGTTGGTCTGTATGCAAAGGATCAGGAAGCAGTGGTGCTTCCCAGGGTGTCTGGGGTGCCAAGACAAGGAATGCGACAAGTCCCAGGCTAAGAGCAGAGACGGGTGGGGGAGATGGGAGGGTGAATGAGGCTGGGGGAGTCAAGGCACAGAGGGCATGATGGACTCACCCTAGAGAGAGGCCTGCGGTTCGTGCAGGCCCAGGGAAGCAGAGGGAGGTGTTGCATATTGTACTTGTATGTGCTGATATGGAGGTGTACTTGTAAGTGTGATTTTTGTGGTTGCTTTTGTATAGTAGGAAAGAACACCATATTTGAGAACCAATTTAGGAATTGGTCAGGTGTGGTAGTACACACCTATAATCTTAGTAGAGGGAGGCACAGGTAGACAGATCTCTGTGAGTATGAGTCTAGCCTGGTCTGCATAGAAAGTTCCAAGCTGTCCTGCCATACATAGTGATACCCTGTGTCAAAAAAGAAAGCTGAGAATAATTGGCTCTGAATTAATGGTATGAGCCATGTCTGTTATTGTTTGATGCCAAAGAACGCAAAGCAAAGAAGAGAGATGTAGGCTTTTGATGTGTGATGTTGGCAGTGTGCTGGGGACTGTTTATAGCTGCAGGAGAATTTGGGTGGTAGAGGCAACACTTGAGAAAAACATAAACAGTGTCTGCCATACCCTTCTTGGCTTGAACTAGGTCTCTGAGTTGTTGTTCCTTCCCCTAAAGGAGCCGTCATTGTGTAGCTCACCTCAGCTCCTAATGCAGCAGCAGTCATGACCATTGTGCCAGCTTTGTGCACAAGTCACTACTGCCAGGATCACTTTTCTCCATCAATGGCAACCAAGGGGTCATTGGAACAGGACTGTTTCAGAATGTGTGGGCTGACTACTGGGCAAGGGGGGTCAAAGATGGCTCACAGGTGTTTGTCTTCTGTGGGGTGATGCCATCTTTCATCTGGTAAAGAGGTCCAAACGCATGGAAACAGCTAAACACCTGGGGAAATATCATTTTATTCTCTAGTGTGTGAACAGCTTATTTAATGAACCATATCTCAAAGTTTTATGTCTACATTAAATTTTTAGACACAATTTTTAAAACAAAAAAGCATGTGAATAGTGAATCCCAACTAAAATGAACCCTAATAATCTGCTTCCTAAACTCAAAGAAAGTTGGTTGTCTTTTCATAGGCCTGAAAACAATCCAACTGCTTTTGTTTGGAATGTACTCCGCTGCATGGAACAGAAACGTGACCTCAGAGGTTCATGGAAATGGAAGCTTCTATAAGTCACATAGCAAGAAGAATGGTGGTTGATGGTAGCTGGTAAGAATTCAGTGGCTCAGAGTGGATTTTATGTCTATCCACTCTGGAATATTTCTCCTGAAGGAAAGTTTTATAGGAAGTTAATTTCAGAGACTGAAAAAAAGTTAAAAACCAATAAAGTCATGTTAAAAAATAGTTAGCATGTGCCTTAGGATTTGGTGTATTCTTTTGGAAAAATGCTTCTCCAGGTACCTAGTTTGGATCCTTGCTAAAGTTAAAAGCAGATATTTTTTTCTTTGTTTTGTTCTCTGTTGTCTCCTTTGTGCTGAGATCAGAAGTCAATGCACCAATAGAGGCGGTAGAGCTAAGTTAGCAAAGACTCTGAGCCCAGCAACGACATCAGTCTGTCCTTTTTAACCATGTTTTCTTGACCTGCAAAATCAGGCGCTGTCTTACAGTTTGACGTAACAGTATAATTATCATATTTTGGTAACTACTCATTGAATGTTGATTATTAAATTAACTGCTCTGAAGTGTCCAAGCTAGGATTCAAGTGGTGTTTGACATCAGCATCCCTGCTTCCCCAATTTTTAATGAACTTTTCCTTATTTTCTGGCCTCTACATAATGACGCTAAAAGATAGACTTTTCCTACTTTTTGAAGTTCACTGTACTCCTCAGAAAATGTGAGAAAATACAGCCAGTCCCTTCTGGAAGATTAGGAGGGCAGTAAGATAATGCAGCCACCTCCAGCCTGATATTTGAGCCCTGCTTTCTGCACGGTCAAGCCTTTTGGAGGCAGCCGGCGTATGGCTTGTATCAAACTCTATATTTAGGAAGAACAACTGTGAGCTATGACAGGAATTCTCTTTAACACTTAGCCTTAAATCGAGTTCCCCTCCAGCCCCAAGCCAGGAGCAGCTCTCGGTACTGGAGAGGCACAGAGCACTAGAGCTATTTCAGCTACATGAAAAGCATTGGATTTGAGACCACAGCTCAGAGGACACTGGGAGTTCCTTCTACCCTCCAAGGAGCTTTGTGTTTTTGCACCTGGCTGCCTGGAATTTTCCTCAGGCAGTAAACAAATACAGAGAACAGGTAAGCAGAATGACCCTGCTCTGGCTCCCAGCTTTCTAGAGGACATTTCCTTGATCCTTAACTTGAAGTGACAACTTATAACTTTGTAGGTTTGAATGTAGTGGGTATAGCTTGTTTGTCAATTCCCTGTTCACTGGTGGCATTTCTGACTCTGTTTTATAAAATGTGGTCTGTGTGTGTGTGTGTGTGTGTGTGTGTGTGTGTGTGTGTGTTGTGTACTGAGAGACACATTCCCTCCCCAATTCCCTGCTTGAGCACACTTGTGCCTGTGAGGTCATAGGTGGAGGAGGGTTGGAGGTAGGGTCTGCCAAGGAGAAAGAATGATGGAGGTACCTGTTGGGAACCTTAGATAGCAGGGTCGGATGTTGAGGCCCTCTTCCTCGGCATTGACCATTATAGAAAGGAAATGGTGGGTGACCTAGCAAGAGGGCCCTGAGGACAACCACATGGCAGGGAAAATGTGTTATGTGAAGAATGGTGGCCCGTGTGTGTCAATACTCTGTTCTCTGGTGGCGTTTCTGTCTCTGTGTTATAAAATGTGGTCTGTGTGTGTGTGTGTGTGTGTGTGTGTGTGTGTGTGTTGTGTACTGAAAGTATATTGAACTAAATGTGGTTTCACTGCTGGGGACACTGATAAAATGTCCAAAGTCCAAACATGATAAGTATGACCTTGAAGCTCTGATGGTCAGCATTACAATTGGCAGCAGCCTGATACAGGCTTTAAGCTCAGAATTTGTTAAGAGAATTGTGGGCATATTAAAGCTGTAAGGATAGCTTTTGCGTTGTCTATATGCTAATTATTGTGAAAGTTGTTACCCAGTGAAAGTTGAGAATGCTTTTCTTGTTTCCCTAAGTACCGGGCTCAGTTTTAAGGATAAAGTTGTATCGAGGTATTCTGTGTAGATAGACCCCATCTTTTCGAGAGCTTGACTTTGGTCACTGTCTTCCTATTGTGAGCAAGGTAGAGGGCTGACTTACTGTTCCTATCTATGTGGACACCAGATTCTAAGGTGTGGAACTGCAAAACCTCTCTCTTCTCTCCTGTTATTTTTAAGGCAGAGTGAAGGAGCTAGTCATTTTAGACAGCTGAACATCTTTCTACACCCTCCTCAGGAATTAATTTTAGCTTCAGGACAGAAGATAATTCCCATTTGTGGCAGAGTTTTACCCATATATATGACCTTTCAAAAGAATAAACAAAGCCCTTCTTTCTTTCATTGATTTTTCTCTTTGATCCCTTCTTATGAAATTAGTGATATTAATGTTGACAATTTTTAGTCAAAGTGTTTTATTTAGAAGCTAGATAACAGGTACTGCCCAATCAAAACCAAATGGGGGGGTGTTCTATTGTCCATAATTAGCGTACGAAGCATTGTAATACTGTACTGATTTGCAGAACTCTTACATGTGATCAGCTGCCAAGCATCACCATTTTACTGTATGATTTGTAAAAGTCAATATATGCCTTGTCAAACTTCCAGTATTTCCAAAATTTAGCCAGACGCAGGAGACAGATGCAGTAACTGAGTGTCCTAAAGAGTACCTCTTTGGGTGAAAAATACTGGCCCTAGGGGGAGTGGAATGAGCACGATAAGGCATAGATTGCTGTATTGTCCAGGAGGGAGCATGCTGATGAAGAGGGAGGGTGCATTACACTCTACACCCTTTATGGAGCTGAATGCCTGATCAGTGAGACAGCCAGGGAACACTGTCTATTTTTATTCATCACTGTGCTTTGCCCTGATTTCTCAGCAAATAATGAGGACAGCAGGAACTACTGCTGAACTGATTTATACAAATATCCTCAACCTGATTGTGAAGAATGAGATCAGGGAGTGAACCGACTTTCTATAGATGTCTCTATGGAAGACTGGCAAGGATGCTAAGAAGAGATTCTCATGCGAATGAGAATATACCAAAACTATATAGGAGACAAGGCCCATCCATTTGTTGGGCTTGGAGTTTCCCAGAAGATACTGCAAACTACTAGTTAGTACAAATAGTGAAAAATAAAATCAGCTTAAAAAACCCAGTGCACTATAAATAACAAAATCATTCGCTGCTGGATGATTTTACATTTCAACTTGGTATTGCAACCACATACGGAAATTTCCTAATCCCATATTTTAAATCAATATACAGTAACTTTAAAAAAGTTTCCAAGTAATATTAATGAAAATTTAGTTGTATATGCATAAGGAGAAAACAGTATGTTATGATATTTAAAGACCTGTAAGAATTTTCATTTCCTATTACTTCTATTAGCTTCCACTGAAAGAAAAATGTGTAAATTTAAGCTACTCTAAGCATATCATTTTGGAATTTAGCTGTGTATCCTAAATAGAAACGTCCTCATGTCTCTTTGATGCTGAAGGAAAGACAGCAGTCTACTTGAAACAGATCATAGAGCAAAATGCATCCTTAATGGTTCCACTTGCTGTTCTTATTTACTTTTTTGAGTATATTAAAAATAATTCGGGGGGTAGAGAGATGACTCAATGGTTAAGAGCACAGTCTACTCTTGCAAAGTTCCTAGGTTTGGTGCTCACCACCTATATGGCAGCTCACAGCTGTCTGTAACCCCAGTTCCAGATGATCTAACACTGTCTTCTGGCCTCTGCAGGCATTGTATGCATATGGTGCACGTGTTTCTCACTCATATACCTAAAATAAATAAAGAAAAATTAAAAAAATATGCCTGGATCCTTATTGTGGAAGCAATATCTATGTCTTAACAAAACATTTAGAAGAAACTTTTAAAAATCCATTATTTTCATGTACATAGTTCCCAAAATGACATATTTGGGTACATTAATTTTAGACCTTTTGTCTTAGTTTGTTTCTCCATTGCTGTGACAAAACACTCTGACCAATACAAACTTGGGGAGGAAAGGGTTTATTTAGCTCACATCTCCCAGGTTGCAGTTCATCAGGGAGCCCAAGGTAGGAACTCAGGGCAGGAACCTGGAAGCAGGAGCTGGAGCACAGGCCATGGAGGAATGCTGCTTACTGGCTTGCTCCCTTGGCCCCTGCTCAGCCTGATTTCTTATGAAACACAGGCCCACCTGCCCAGGGGTGGCACCACCCACAGTGGGCTGGGCCCTCCGACATCACTCATCAAGAAGATGCCCTTCAGACATGGCCACAGGCCAGTCCAATAGAGGCAATTCTCCAATTGAGGCCCCCTCAACCCAGGTGTGTCTAGTTGACATGAAAGCTATCCAGTACACCTTTACAAAACAAATATACAATTGTTTAACTTCACAAAATATAATCGAAGATCAAAAAACAAAAACCTATAATTTTCCTAAAGTTCTCAGATTTTTCATTTCCGTATCTGTGGAAGACCATGCATCAGTTCTTTCTCTGTACTTAAGGCTGCAAGTGAGCATGGCATGAAGACATCATTAGATATGGGCTCTGGCAGCAACACAGCAAATATTTGCAGCATGCTTTAGAGTTCAGAAAGCCTTTCTTGAATCTTACCACAACCTGTGGAGCAGGGGAATTTTAAGGAAGAATAAATGGGCCTAGAAATGTTGAATGACATTGCCCTAGTTTCTGAAATCTTGTGTAAAATACTAACCCCTCCTCTGTGTTCATTCAGTCAAATGTTACCATGTGCATGCATACCAGTCAGACAGAATTCAGTCAACTTATTTTATAGTTAAAATTTAGAACACAGTTTATTTATTTTTGTTTTATCTGTATAAGTCTTTGACCTGCATGTATGTAAGCGCACTTGTGTACAATGCTTGTGTAGACCAGAGGATGGCGCCAGATTTCCTGACACTGGAGTTATGAACCTTGTTAGCCACCATGTAGGCATAGCATGTTTTTAATTCAGTGAATTTTTAACTTTTCACTTGCTCCTGTTGATATTTAACAGATAGCTATAAAAACAAGCCCAGCTTGTCCCAGCTAATGTCCCCAAATGGACTTTAGTCACAGTGCTCAAGTTAGGTCTCATGTGTTTAAAGGAGAGTTGGGGAAGAAAGCACTTCTTGATCTTGGGAATATGTCATGGTCGTGGAACTCTACTTGCCTTCTGAGATAGTTTTCTTGAAAGAAGACAGTTCCAGAAAGCCCTAGCTACATGTGTTTCTACAACTTGGATTCTATGAGAGGCATCCTGCAGATGGTCAAGGGGACACAAAGACCCAGCTCTTCAGAGGTTGCTGGGAGAAAAAAATGTGAGGAGAGAGAGTCCCCAGAAGTGGGGACATCCTATGGACCATTTTTCTTTGGGTATTCAATTGAGAGCGCTTGCTCCCAGTGGACTGAGTAGCTGGCCTGGCAACAATGAATGCAGATAAAAAGTTCAGTTTCAAGCCAAGGGTCTCTGGGGAGGCCAGAACAAAGGTGTTTTATTCCCACTATCTCTTTGCTTTGCTGCTTTTGGCAGAAGGTCAAGAGGGCAGGCAAAGAGATGATACAGCCTTTCACGTTTCTGATCACCTATCATTCACATCAGGGGCAAAGCATCTCAGCATTTCTCCTCTTGAATGATTTAACGGGGTGCTCTAATGTTCCCTCTCCCCGAGGCATTGGGAAGGAGAGTCTCTAAGTAACTTCAGAAACCGAGACTGAAAGAATATATGGCCAGTGAAAGGGGCGATTGCCCAGTTGAATCATGAGTTAAATTCTAACTTATCAAGACCTTGAATCCGAAGGCTGCCACATCTAACAGTTTCTTACTTGTTTTTTTTTAGGGATAAGACATTGTGAGTATGTCAAAACAACCAGTTTCCAACGTCAGAGCCATCCAGGTAAGTAGGTATATTTGTGCTTACCATCAGCTCTGTGACTTCTGGCCTGATTGCTTATTGTGATTGTTCTCTGGATATTCACTTCAAGAAATTTCTTCTCTATAAGACTCATGCAACACAATTGAGAAAGGGATATAAGAATGATAAGGTATAACAGAGAAAACAGGAGCTGCTTTTAATTGTTCTGAACTATAAGACAAATGAATGACAATTACCGTCTACAAAATGTACTATGCTCACAATAACTATTATGTGTTTATAAAGAACCAGAGAGAAGAGCTTGATGGTTCCAAAATAATAATGAATAGGAAATGCTCTTTATCCTGATTAGCTCAGTATACCTAGTATATATGTATTATAATACTGTGCTTCTGAAATATACCGTTCCCCATAAGGATGTATAACAATTACAGGTTAATAAAATATGTAGTATATTTATTGATAAGTGTTTTATATGTTTATTTATAGAGAATAGATTATTTAACTTCCATGTTAATATTGAACTGATATATGGACACATCAGTAGGTCATAGTTTGTTTGACTATTTGTTTCAAATATGTCTTTTGGGGCAGGGGGTTTAAGTTAGTGTAAAGTATATGAGTAAAGAGTGGGAAGCTCTGACTTCAATTCCCCGCACTGATGAAAATAAAATAAGCTATTTCTTTAAACAATATCCTTTTGTAGTCAACCGTTCTTCCTGAGGATTGGACATTTAAGTTCATATGTTAATAATTATCTTCATGTCCTTCTAGCGAACAGCTCTTTGGTTGTTTAAACTGACTTAAGTGTAACTCACAAAAAGGGAATGAGAAGCAGGCATTTTGAAATATGGATAAATATGAAAGTACATTTCAGTATTTGTTGTGCCTCAGTGCTTAATTTGCTATTTTTTTTAAGGGCTCTGAATTTGACTCTCAAATGGACCCACCATGAGTGGCTAGTCACAATGCTTCAGTGTAAAATTCTACCTTTTCTTTCATCAGCATGGAGCCTATCTGTGCTTTATCCAAAGAAACTTCTCTTCCTGGACTTTTCTGAATACTGCGGGGTATACAGCAGTTCCTGAATATTTTGGCTCTGGTATACCAACACAGCATAAACACAGTCTCGAAGAGCTGACTGAGTTTTGGAGGGGCGTGCATGTGGCCAGGGTGTGAACATGCTGTTGAGGGTTTGAGAAACCCTAGCATACACCAGTGGTAGAGGTATTTGGAAAGGCAGATCTTTACTTGTCATGACTAACACATATCCTTAAATCGATGGAATTCTTAAGTGTCAGGATATATAACAACTTCTGGAAACCTGTTACTGAGCAAACCCAAGAACGAGCATATGCATTTGGCAAAGATTCTGGTGCACACACTGACATTCAGTCCTCTGATATCTACCTAATGGGTCTCTGACATAGCCTGATAGTGGCAGCAGGCATTATTTTGTCTCCTGGACCTGTGGACATTGAGCCTTTAAATCTTTTCTATCACATGGTGTAAAAACAGTTAGTAGCACGCATTTGAAATCAGACTGGTGTCCTTAATCCATCTTGTGTAGGCTCATGGGAAAGGACTCCCCCCTGCTTTACCCCTCTGGGTCTCCATTTCCAAATTTGTGAATTGGAGCTAATAATAGTACCCTTTAGGGGTTAACATAGAAGGTGCTGAAAACAACATAGTAAGCAATCATTGGAGAACACTCAGTATTCTAGTTCTGATCATTCAGGAATAGTTTATATTGGAATTTTGATTACTGCACTCAAAGCTCCTGAAGTGCTAAACAGAAAATTTCCCTTTTATTTTTCAGAATACTCTCAAGCAGCTCTTTCTTCTCTTCCTTTTAAAGCTTAAAGTATATTGATTTTTCTTCTTTAGTGCCCTTAGGCTCATACAAGTCTACACTGAAAATTCACCAGCAGTTTATTTACTAATTTTGGCCTTGATGTATTTTAAGATCTGTACAATTTAAAAAGCCACTATTGACCATTCTCAATAGCTGTTATTATGCTGCATTACAAAAAGTCTATCCACTTTACCAACAAGGTCAATCAGTGGTTCCTTATGGATGTGGTTTTGCCCTTTCAATGTATTTGATGTCTCACTGAAGGACCAATTTAATGCACTTTCAAATGAAATATTATTTCTTGTGGTTAAATAGGGTCAACACTAGCTGATATTTTTCTATCATCTTTGCATTGACCTTAAGTAGGGTACATTAAACAAAATACGAAAATGGTTACACAATATAAAATGGTTCATAGTAGGAACATTTTGTTATGAGCCTCTCTGGAACAAATACAAACTCTGATTGATAAGTAAAAATGCTGATTGTGCAAATACCACTTAAAGGTCTTAAATGTTCCGCTCATTACAGTTTAATCACCTCTTTTTTATTATACTCTTTTATCTAATCAAGTTCAGCTGTCGTTTTGGGGGTCATAGCATGTGCCAGGTGTAGGCTACACAACAATGGGTTGATACCTGATCTCTGTATTTGATGAACTTATGGTCTTTATTACCTACATGACCTTGGACAAGTAGTTTATCTTCTTTGTCCTTCCCTTTGCTTATCTGTTAAAAAAGGAACTGATAGTTGTACATCTTTCATAGTTTCTGAAAGTATAAAATGAATTTAATAAACGTAAATGCTAGGCTGGTGCCTGAATAATTGTAATTTCTTTGTATAACTGTTATACCCCATCAGTCAGTAAGTCAATCAATCAGTCAGTTGACCAATCATCATCATCATCATCATCATCATCATCACCATCACCATCAACATGCCCATCATAATATAATATAGTTCATCAGTTCCCGAAATCTGTGCCTTGGAATATTTTTAGTTTCATGGGATATTGTTAATTAGGTTAAAAGTTTCCACAGTTAAGTGTTTGGGAAAATTTCTCAGAGTACATAATTTCCTAAGAGATCTTATTCTTCCCATGAGGGTAATACATAGTGTTTTCCAAACATTTTTAGACCTTTTCAATGATTAATCTTGCAGGATAGTGTTTTGCAGTGCAAACTTCTAAAAACATAGAATTAGATCTCAATTTTGTCTGGCTTGAGTGAACCGAGCCACTTTCAGCCATAGTTCTAATAAGCAGGCATTTCAAGAGCATGCCAGAAAACAGAGTCAAACAATTACAAAGGTCTGTTTCCTTAGACATCCTTACTTTACTTTTCTGTAAAATAGTGACAAATATTACTAAATATTTCAGGATGCTGTAATGAATAAACTACATAATCTATGACAAACCCCTGATTTATAGTATACATATTTCTGTCTATGGAATGGCCTTGCTTTTTTTAAGTGGTGCCATTTCCTCCATGTACCAGAAAAACAGGAAGGTTAGAATTAGACTCATACTTACAGAAGGTTAAATAGTTGTTTTTCACATGTACACTGAAGAAGAGATTGCCTTTGAATTGTAAGGGGAGTCTGAATTTAACCATTCTTCCCATTTGCATTAATTAAGTTTCAGCCAATGGCATAAAAACTTTCTGAAGGAATCAGTTGATTTTTTCCATAGATTAGAGAAAACTTCTTAAGCTGCTAATAAAGTTCTATACCAGATGTTGGTCATTTTTTTTTTCTGTAAAGGACCAGATAGTAAATATTTTAAGCTTTGAATTGGTTTGGTCTGCTTTAATTATTAACTCTATCATTATATCATGAAATAGTCACAGGCAGACCATAAGTGAGTGAATGTGCCTGTTTCCCAAGAAAAGCTTATTGAAAAATTAGGTGGTGGGTTGTATTTGTCCTATAGATTTCAGTCTGACAACCACATTGTTGATGGTAATGCAGCTGCAACCAAGGTAACATCAACACACTCTGCACACTGGGTCTGTTCCCTATAGTTGAAAGAATGTGACATGACAGGTGGCAGGGAAAGTTAGAGCTGCTGAGAAATCTAATCCCATCAGCCATCTGCTTGGTGGCTTTCTCTAATGAGACTAAGTGATACCAACTACTGGCAGCATCTTCTGGTCCTTCCTCTTCCTCCTGAATACATCTACCATGGGAATCATCACAGGCCGCCCTAGGGCCTGAACTCAAACAGAACCAATTTGTTCTGGGTTGACATTTATCCTTTCATTCTACTATTTCCCCTCTTCCATGAGATCGAAGAGTACCAATGGCTGACTAGGAAAGAGTCTTATGCCCCAGTCTTACCTGTGTTATTTGACTTCGCTTGCATGGGTCTCATGATCTGTAAAGGAAAGGTGTTGTGTCAAATAACCTCTAAGCCTCTGACTAGCTTGTAATAGTCTGTGACTCTCTTAAGCATAGCTTCTAAGGCTTATTTTGAGTATAATAATAATAGCTATAGTTATCCTTTTACTGTGTGCTTACCACAGTGTAATGGGACTTCTATATATCACTAGTTAGGTTTGGAAAAATGAAACAGCACACCTAGAATACTTACGTCTGAGTCACTGACTCAGTCTTTCAGTCTGATTGTAAAATGTATGCTTGATGGCACCCTACAGTGTTATCTGGTCTTATTACTTACTGTCTGAACCCTTGATACAGAGCACAAGGCTGGGTTAGTGACTCTGGACCATCTCAAGGGTAATAAAAATGCCAAGACCACTTGCGAGACAAGTATCATTTGGTACCTCGCTCTTAAAGAACTCAACCAACATTCATAAATAGTGTCGTTTGAGTGAAGGTATCCTATACCAATTAAAGTCATATTAAAAGCAAATTGGTTTAGATGAAAAGTACAACGTTAAGTAACCCAGTGATGAATGTGGTCTTGAAATATAAGCAACCATGACCACTGAATTACTACCTCTGGCTTAAATGAATTAATCAAGCTGCTTGTGGAACTAAATCTAACTCTTTTATCATACATTCAAAGGAAAGATTATCTGAGCCCTGTATTGTTAGGCAGTGTGTGGCTTCTTACTATGGGAAGTTTTCCATTGCTACCCAATCCACATATCCACATGTAGAACAGAATGTTTCTATGTCCCTCATTTTAGAACTTCTTTCTTTT